CAATAACGGAAAAAATGAGAGTCGGTTCATATTAAGCACGTGAGCTGTATTCTCTCTTTTGGTAATTAGATGATTTATTGAAATTACATACATTTGCTGACTTGTGTGCTCAATATAGGCTTATAAGTCATTGTCAAGTAGAAAATACAGATAGACCAATTCAGAGAAAGACATCACAAAGAATACATCCAGGGTTACGACGGGATTCGAACCCGCTATCTCCACGCTTAAGGCGGTCCTAAAGTGGATTCTAGCCTCAAACTTGAANGATCTGCTGGGAACCGTGTTTTAACGATCACTCCACTGCGGGACTTCTGGAGGATACAGTTGTCTGGATATTATTGAGATATCCAGACATATCTAAGTCATTTTGTATATCTCTTTAGACTTTTATTATTGATATGTTTTAGACATGGATATTTGGATGTTTATAGTTTACGATTTTGGATGTTTTACAGTAAGAACATTGTTGGTTTATGTACCGAAAAATAGAGGTATCGAGCACCGATTAAAAGAGAGTGGGCTCGAATGGTGATTAAAAGAAGCTAGGTTGAAAAATTGCTCAAACAATAGTCTGTTCGAGTATCGATAAAAAGGAAGTGGGCTCTAGTATTCAGCAAACGAGTGTGGGTTGTAAAAGTGTTCAAATGACGGCAGGTTCACGTAATAATCAAATGATAGTGGGTTCAATAACGGAAAAAATGAGAGTCGGTTCATATCAAGCACGTGAGCTGTATTCTCTCTTATGGTAATTAGTAGATTAATTAATTTGGAAACCAAAGATATTTTAAGGGACATTCATACTGTATTGCTCTTCTACGCTCGCTTTAATAGGATCTGCTTGCGCAAGCAATCGCGATCATGTGCACTTATGCAAGTTGCTTTTAGTGAGAATGCGCTTTTGATTTTGCAGAGTGATTCGTTTACCTTGTAAAAAATCGTTTAACACTATGGCATGAAAATTGAATTGAAATCGATCGACTTCTCAACGCGCACATTATCAATTCCGAAACTTCGTCTGAGTTTTGTTTACTCTTCTGTTACTTTTTGTTGTTCCAGTAGCATGGCTGAAAGTTTAGATATTTTAAAGCTAACTGAACAGCTGTAAGTTAAGTAAATTCTGTATTCTGTCTGTCAAAACAGATAAGAGATTATTACTTCTTAAATTGCGTAATAATGTTCCATATGGTGAATTATGCATTTGCATTATTCTTCCATATTTGTCTAAAATACCGAAGCGCATAAAAAGACCCATGATATTTCTCGTTCAAATTGATCTTACCTATGAATTTTTTAGTTAAAATTATATTATTTGAAAAAGAGTAAGATTTACCTAGCTTTTAAAAATATTTTTAGTCTAAAGATTACTTGCTTTCTTCACGAAAACATTTCGATTAAGAAAACAATTAAAACTACACATATATAATTCACCAGTTAATTACGTATTTGATAGCCTTTAATTTTTTAAAATGTATTAATCAAGGATTTGTTTTTTTTTTTTTTTTTTTTTTTTTTTTTTTTTGTAATAGATGAAAAAATTAAAATCAAATATTGATATGCATTTGTATACGTAAACATATTAGTAACGAAATTTACTAAATCTAATTTTTATTATTTTTTTTAGTTATATATATATAACTTTAACTTAATATTTACTAAACAAAATGTTAAAATATTACTCAATATGTATTTACAGTTTGCTCATTAAATGAATGATTCAGATTTCCTTAATTTGAGAGAATCTACTGAACTATTTACCTTGCACTTCTATTTTCATTAATTCCTATTTTTCTAATTTGCAGTGAAACATATTTTTACTAAGAGTAGATATCCATCTTTTTGACAAAAAATAGACAAAAAAATGTAAAACGTTCAACCAATTTATAAACCCTAATGAAACCTAAACCAGGGTTACTAAAAATCATGACTTAAAGTATCTCTCTCTCTCTCTCTCTCTCTCTCTCTCTCTATATATATATTGCATAGACCT